TTGAATTTTTTGTATTTTAATAATTAAAATTTTGTAATTGTAGTATAGTATAATACATTTTAAATAAAGTAATTATCACATTTTTTTAGCATTTTTTGAAAAAAAAAATAAACGAAGCATATTTTATAAATTTTTTTCGCATATATTAGCATATCTTACTATATAAAGCAGGCATAATTTGAGTTTAGCACAGCAGAAAATGGGCCACCCTAATCTATTGGAACTTCTTCTATAACGTTGAGTAATAGTCTATGTAAGAGATCTTGAAATATTTGTTAGGATAGATAGTTTAAAAATTAACGACTATATATTTAACTTATCAGAATCATACACATTATCGTAAATGTTATTCATATACAAGAAGTTATTTATAACCTCATTGTTAAGATCTTCCTCAAGACCCTTTGAATTATTTATAATGAAAATGACATAATGATTTCAAACTAGATAAATAAACACATATATATATGAATATGTATTACTGTTAGCAAGTTATCACTTCCATTATCGATTGAGTTCTCGCTTTCATTATCAACTGGAAATAGTAGAACATCCATTGGTAAGTTGTCATCCTCATCAATCAAATTTTTATCTTCATCATTGCCCCATCATCTTCATCGATCAAAAATAGTAAGTCTTGTTTATCAATAAAAGTTTCATAATCATTTAATGCTAAAAGCGACCCTTTCATTTTTTCATAGTTTTGCTATCATTTAGAAGTAGTTGCGATGATGCATAACTTTGAAATATGTACGTAAGTATGACTAGTTCTTCTTGAATGTTTCATAGTTATCAGAATTAAAGTGAAAAAAATAAAAAAAAATAAAAAAAATATGAAGTTAAATAAAAAAATATGAAGTATAAAAATGATCAGAAGTTTCCAGTACAGTAAAGTCTATTGTCTTCTATAAATAGAAATATTAATCTATAAAAAAATTAAGTGCAGAGTGATCAAATAATCACGAGTTTAATTTAACAAATAAAACATATACCGTAGGTACTATAATGGCATAAAAAGTCTTTGACATCATCATTAAATAGTTCTGATGAGTCTTTTAATCAACCTTAAATGTTTGATTAATCATTTTTACGCCTTTTTAATCAGTTCATAATCAATACTTATTTATTGTGGCTTTATTATTTTTTTTAAAGAATTCGAATTTTAATATTTTTTTATGAAATCCATTTAGCTATGCCTCCAAAGCAGAAGACGATGATTGTATCTAAAGAAATAATAAAAAAGAAGCATCAGATATGATCTTCTATGAATAAAACTGATATTATAATTGATACAGATATTGCTCAAAACAAAACAATTAATAATTTGTATATTTCTACCAACACAACTATGAAAAACCCAAGGAATAATAGTCAAAATAAAAACTGGAAAACAATTATAAAAAAAACCAAGGACTTAAATTCTATACTTCAACCAAAGAAAACACAAGATAGGCAAATAATTATTGATAGTAATAATGATAAAAGTGAATCAGATTCAAGTGGTAAGTAGAGTGAGTATATTATTATTGATTACGAATTAAAACCAATGATTGTCATTTTGTATCTTTAGATATTCCGAAAACTTTGAAAATAAATGCTTATGACACTATTAATATTTTATATAATAAGAATGAAATTGAAGAGAATGATCGAAAAAAAGAGAATCAGGTATTTATTATTTCATGTACTGATCTTACTACGTTACATGAATATTGAGACTGTGGATGATGATAAATAATAAATTTAATTTTAATAGATAATGAGAGTGACTCCTGAAAATATAACTTACAACCAAAACATCCAACGCAATTTCAAAAATTATCTAATGAGTTTGAAATCATCCTGTAAGTAGCTCATCATCAAAGAATTTTGAATTTGGCAATAGATATTCAAAATTCAATGGTGAATAGTGTGCCAGTAAATGGAGAAGAATCTGAAACACTCCAAATTCCTATTTTTATATCATATTCAATATCTAATTTGTCAGAAATTAGTCAGGTAATACAATATGTAGTAATAAAAGTTTTATTATATAAAATTTATACTAACTAAATATTTTGGATTAGCATACTAAATTTCAATTACAGGAGGAGTGTAAGATTCTTTTTCTTCGAACAAAAAACAATACAATGGCATTATATGAGAAATTAATTGTAAATGTATGCAAGATTACTAAAGCAGACCTTCGAATGGGATTATTGCTTAAAGATATTAGTGGATGATATCATACATACCATTATAAACTTCTGAATGGTAAGCATTATGATTTATTAAAATTTAACAAATATACAAATATTATTTAAATAATTATAAATATAGGGAAGAAGAAATATCTGATGATGAATTAAATGAATCTATTAATAAGAATGTATGGCAGCAATTACTTCATTTGCATCTAAAAGCAACTGATCAACAAATTTTAAAAAAAATTCTATAATTACTGAAAAACTTGATACTTTTGTATGTCAGGTTGTTAAAGCTATTATAATTGCTTAATCAAACCAAACAAATACACGAATTGCAGTTAAGAGTCATGATGAATATACTATTGATTTAGCAATTCCAATAAAACTTGGAGTGATAAAGTTATTACCTATTCTAGAATTATTGACTTGATAGTTAATATTTGAATAATGTTTATTACTAATAATATTTTAATAATATTTTAGAAAATGTCTATTTGTAACAACCTGTTACACGTTTTTATTTGTAATAACCTCAAAAATCACGTGATGCGTAGATTTTTGTGTGACGTTTCTACTATATTGCATTATGCATTTTTTGTATGACGTTTCTACTGCGTCGTGTTATGTATTTTTTGTGTGACATTTCTACTGCATTGCATCACACATTTTTGTGTAACGTTTCTACTGCGTCGTATCACGCATTTTTTGTGTAATTTTCTGTTATACAAAAACTGCATTTTTTGTGTGACATAATAATCTTTGGATAAAAAAAAATTTTTTTTTTCTCAAGTTCGTATTGTATCATACAAAAGTACTTACCCTATAATTTGGTAATGAAGGCAGTTAAAAAAAAAAGACTAAAAAATAATTAATAAAGTGTACAAATATTGTAACAAGCAGAATTATAGTAATTTACTTTTGCTTTTTTTTTACATTTCAGCCATTTTTTTGTGTGGATTAGCTTTTTTTTGCATTATGGTCGTAGCAGTCAAACCTCCAATAGAAAACTTTCTCGCTTCCTTTTTTTGCATTATGGTCATTCTTTTGCATAGCAGTCATCAAATCCCAAATAGAGAACCTTTTTGCTTCGCTTTTTTTGTGTTGCAATCATTTTTAACTCACAAAACTATGTCTAAATTGTATATTCAAGAATCCGTTCAAGATGATACTTCTTTCATGATGCTTTGTGATTATGGTATGTAAATACTCTATATATGTAAAAAGTAAAAAGTAAAAAATCGATTCTGCTAATATATCTATTTAATTGTTTTCTAATATAGAACATGTTGAGTTGAATAATATAACACCTATGAACCCAGAAGATGAAATACCTCTAAATCCAAATTTAACACCTTTGAACCTAGAAGATAGAATATTCTAAACACAAATATAATACCTTTGAATCTAGAAGATGGAACTTTGAACCCAGAAAATGAAGGTGAGATTACTAGTTTCTTCATTTACATCTATTTATTAGAGACTTTACCCTTATAATCCAGTTATAATAAACCTTTGTGTTGGTTGTGTCTTTGAATCATAGGAAAGTATTGACACTATTATGGAAGCTTATGATAAAAAACATGGATTTGCAATTATAAAGAAACAGTTAATTCGTCTTGAAAATGGCAGTATTAAGCATCATAGTTTTGGATATGAATTTGGTGATCATTATCAATCAAAAAAACTAATTGATATTAATAAACATCAAGATTGTAAATCAAAATGCCAACAAGCAAATTTCAATTACCCTAAAAATTCTCAAAATATAGTCCTTACCACTTTTAATAATTTGCATAACTATATGTTATTTCCTAATAATGAAGAGTACTCAACAAAATATTGATGTGTCTTTGATGATTACATTCTCAAAGAAATCCAATTTCTTACAGAACATGAAAACCTATCAATTACTACTCAACGAAAGCTATTAAAAGCAAAGTTCCTGTCTCTATCTATTCTCGATTGTGATCTCATTAATGCAATACAAAAATTATAAAGTTAAAGCAGAAGTAACATATGATGCATCTTGTTTATAAAAAAACTTATTCAACATCAGTTAGATAATCTTGGATAGTTTGTCGAGTTTCAACTTAATGAAGAAATAGACTTACCCGACTTTTTTGGATGTCTCCAACTCAGATTGCTCTTTGGTTGAAATACCATGATGTTATTTTGAATGACAATACCGCTAAAACCAATTGCTACTAAATGCCACTTTTACTTTTCCTTGTTGTTGATAACAATACTAGGTCTCATCTTATTGCACAAGCTCTTGTGTCTAACGAAACTACTGAATCCTATAAATGGATCTTAGAATATACAAAAAAGCAACAATTACCAAACTATTAGTATTCGTTACTGATGCAGATCCCGCTACAGACGCAGCAATCATATAAATATATTTAACAACCTACCCAATCCATTGTATTTTCATATTAGCGAAAACCTATCAAAAAATCTCAAATCCAAGCTTGGTGATCAATATTATAGTTTTGTTCATGATTTTTTTATATATCATAATAGTTTATGTGAAGAACTTTTTTATGAAAAATGGTCAAGTCTTATCTCAAAGTGAAAGATTATTTAATGGAAGCCCTCTATCCTAGCTGACAAGTGTAGGCTTGTGCATTTATATCAAAGATATTTATCGCGGGAGTACAAACTACTTTCTGCATTAAGGGTTTGAATAATATTATTAAACGTGAGTTAAGAGCAAACAGTACCTTATGTGATCTTACCAGTGTTCTTGATGCATTGCTTAGAAATGAAGTGCAATAGAACTGTATTTTTTCAAATACCGTATCCTGTCAACCTGTATAGAAATCACATCGGTTAGCAATGATTTTTTTCCTGATATTGACAAAATGATGTTTAAATACCTAACGCCTCATATCTTATCTGCTGAATGCTTAGAAATAGCGCAATGCCTTTACTTTATTGCAAATAAAGCTAGACTGGACATAGTTGAAGTAATTTGCATCCTATTTTGGGGTTAAATCATTAATAAAATTCAATATCTAATACTTTTACTATATAGGATCGCGTTAATGTGACAGATGGATTTATTGAAAACCTATATGATGCTAAACAAATTCTATTGAAATTGATGATTGTTGAAGTTGATGAAAATAGCATTCGTGAAATATGGAAGATTACAGATATGCAACCTGAAAATAAAAACATGTATATTTCATGATAGTAGTTAATCCTATTTCTTATCTTTGTTCTTGCATGTCTAAAATATTCTGTGGTATTGTTTGTCACCACTATTTTCGAGTAATGATGATTTCAATAGTCGCAGGATTTCAAATTCAAATGATACTTTTGTGATGATATATTGATGATCAAAAGACAATAATACAGCAGCAGAGACTTGCTTTATAAGCCAAGAGGCTATAGAAAAATTTTCAGGCATTATTTACTCCAATCCTTTAACTGTTCCTATAACAGTTACTACTATTTTACGTTACGCAACAAAAAAGAAGGCCAAATATGGAAAAGTGTGGAGACTTGTGCAGCAGGTAACTCAATATGCTATTGAATATGACAGTCATGGTAAAATTATCAAATGGTTAAGACAGTTTATTAATCAACACAAAGAAATGATAATTACACATACTGGATTAATGTGATGATACTAACAAAGAAAATGAACCTGAACTAATTAAAAATCTATTAGTATTATAACACAAACAAATCATCAACTGAAAAGAAACTACATGCGGTCAATCAGGATATAATAATGCAAGGTGTCAGAATCAGTAAGTATTCATTCTTTTTATTCATTAGTTCATTATATTCCTTTATCTCTTCTAATCAATTTTTAATATTTTAGGTTATAATATGAAATTGAAATCATGAATATATTTCTAAATTTCTTAGCGAATTTATATAAGAATAAGGGTGGGATAATTGGATATGTAAAATGGGCTAGGCAGAAAAATTGGTTGTTTTTTCATCTTTTTTGTTAAGGTGGAATTTTGGAGTTAAAAAAAGCATGGTGGGTAAAAGATATCTGATTGGCTAAGATAGATTTGCTAAATTTTTTCAAAAGCCAAACGGACTATAGGAAAAATGTTTTTGATTTTTTAAATAAAAAATTATCTTTAATTCACATTAACATTATAAAAATACATCATAAAAAAATAATACATGTCATATGCCGATAACCATTTTATCACAGATTATTTATTTGAAAAACTGGCCAGCATTATGCTATAATTTTGGTCAAATCTGATTCTATTTTCTGAGATTGTTACATTTATTATATGCAACAGATTGTTACAATTAGACTCATCCTTTAAAAAAAATATAATTATAATGTAAAAATAATCTATATACATATTAAAAATCTTATAATTGATGTATTTCTTTATTGTAAATATAGGAAACATAATTGGCTTCTTGTTTTCTTTATTCTTGCACAATATCCATCTGCTTTTGGTTTTATTATAATGTAAATTGCTGCTTCTACAAGACAATGTGATAAAAATTAATTTTGTAAGATAACAATAAAGGCATGAAGTAGTATGAAAGAAAGGAATAATAATTCCACCGGTGTATATATCATACACAATGAGATATGCCTGTTATTTCATATGATATGAAGGATAACTGGATTTATACATGTGTTATATAATAATCACATGTGCTTATGTGCATGTGATTATATCTATATCCTGTGAATCATGGTTGGCAAAAGACCATGAAATGATCTTGAAATGATCTCAAATAACCTCAAATAATCTTATTGTTATTATTATAATTTGCTATTACTGTCATGAATAACCTAGTTATCCTTCACATCATACGAAATAACAAGTATATATTACACTCGCTAAAAAGAAGATAAACTGGCATTCATCAAGATTCATAAAATCACCAAATAACCATTCTGCAGATATTCCATAGCATTTTAAAGATACTTTCTTTACTGCATCTTTTGGTTGGATTTTTGAATCAGTAGTGACCTGGACTGGTAAGATTATTTATATCACAGTAATTAGTCTGGGAATGTGCAAGTTCAGTTTTGATTTAGTTTAGCTTTTATTATTTCACATTATAAATTATATTAGATAGAAATTTTCATTTTTTCATGTATTTGTTTTTATACTTCTGTATAAATTTCTCATTTCAATAAAGATTCAGCAAAAACACTTTCTGATCCACTCGATCATGTCTCAGCAAATGAAAAGCAAAAAATCTTTTAACAACAATCTAAGTAAAAAAGCACAAAGTGGCTATTTTGGCTTACCAACAAATGAAAAAGCATCTAAGAAACTTCAACTAGATACCCTAGACTACTCAAAATTTCTAATGCTAATGTTAGAGAAAAATCTAAATATTTGCTAAAGCTTACCAATCTACTAGTAGACACAAATAGTCAGCAATTAATTCCTATTGGAAAAGCGGGCAAAGCTATAGACACAATATAATATCTTTTAATGATCCAGTTAAATAACAATTATTAATAAACCTTTACAATCAACATAATGTCAACCATAGTGTTCAACAAAATTTGAATAACTCTTATTCCGCTTTGTTCAATATACATATATAATCATGATAACCTATAGGGCAGAATTATATATGCAGATTTGCAGTTGCAAAACAAATATCACATTAGAATTATTAATATCTATATTACACCTTCAGATAATTCTCTTAGAAAAAAACTTTATACCAAGTTAATTTATCTCTTCAGACAATTTTTGATGCAGATAATTCTCGTGAGGGACTTTAATACTAAATTCAAATAATTTACAAATCCAAAACACACAAATCATTGCTTTCACAATCCTTCATATCAACTGATTTGTCAGATCACAATTTGCTCATAACAATATTGGAATGTTCATAACTGTATATCAAATGATTCTTCTTATCTATTAAGAAAACATATTTTGATATGAACAAAATGAACTAAGATAAATAGCACAAGTTCACATCTAGTATAGATACTTTATTAAATAACTATGCAAAAGCAATATCAATTTTTATTAGAAGATTTTGCAGAATATTATTATCATAGCAGCTAAAAAAAACTATACTTAACAAATAGACAAGCACATATTGCAAAGACATTCATCCTAAACTACTAAAAAAATCACAAAAATGATATGCAAATTTTTAATGATAAATAGAACTATTATCTATTAAAACTGATTCCAATGCTCATGAATTACAAATAATGTTCTTAGAACACATAGATTATCTTACTAAGATCCTAATTAATACATCTCTTATTAAACAAATTTACCATATACACATTACAAAAACAAAGATCATGGAACAAGAACATAAGATCGCATCTATTAAATTCAAGTTAGAGAAAAGATATCAGGACTACAAAGACAATTAATCAATTATGATAGATTCCATCATTAACTGCCAAAGATATACTATTTATTTAGACAGATATATAAATGATCAACAAAACTAACAGACACTTTCAAAAAGCTACTGTCATTTTTCATCAACCCATGGATCATAATTTAATGACTGTTCCAACAGAAGAGGAATAGGATAATATTATTAATTCGCTTCCTAACAATAAAGCTCCTAGACCTTCCAAGATTTCTAACAAAATGCTACAAAACTTAGAATCCCAAATAAAATGAATTTTTAGATCTTCATTAGCAATTGCTTTTCAAAATCTATTCTATTGGATGTGTAGAACATCATATTTGTATATCCAGTGCCTATAGAAGTATGACCTTAATAATACCAGATCTATCACACTCTAGAATGCCTAAGAAAGGCCCTTGTCAAACTTATCAATAATCAACTACTGGAAACGTTATCTAAACATCAAATTCTTAAAGGATACAATTTTGCTAGACT